TACCTTATTTTCACAAATAGCTCCTCAAGAGCACACCCTGAACTGTTGCTGAGTCCTAATACAACAAACAGGCCTGAAATAAACCCCAGCTAGCCAACAAGAACGAGGTACCACCCAACAGCTAAGGTAGTTCTAGACCCTAAAAATCCAGTTGAAAGCTCACAAACCATTGAAATACACACTGTTAAACCCCACCTCAGTTATCCACACATGACTACCAGCTATTCCTCTGATCAACAGTAACACAGCAAAGCCACCTACAGAGACTAAATGCTTCAGGAAAAGGCTTGGCAACTGATTAAACAGAATAAAGATACCCCATTAACATACCCTCCAATAAATCAAGAATAAACCTAAAAATACAAATGAGACCCACCAATTTACAACCCACACTCAAAAGCAGTACCAAAGCAATCATAAGGGGAAGGAAGTGCTTTTACCCAGGAAATGGGGCGAAATATATATTAGTTTCCACTTGCATAACAACTAAGGCCAACAGTGTGAATGCAACGGTGGGGTTTCAACCATAGAAACCTAAAGGTGCCAATGCCTTAAAAAAAATTTCTACATCTCCTTCCTTCACTCTCCAACTCCCTTTAACATCTGCATAAATGCTTATTATAATGAATTGTCTGTCCTCTGGCCAGATAGCTCCTCCTCTTTCTTTAGCTGTGTGTCCCTCTGTATTCACCCAACATCCCTACCATGGCTCCTATCGGTTCAAAGAAACAGAAAATGTCGAAGTAATTTTACAATTACATGTTTATAACTGTTTGTCATAAGTTATCACCTCCAATGAAGCTAAATATTTTTGACGTTAAACATGTCCCAAAAAATTCCCTCTCCCCTCCCTATACCAACTTGGGCCAGAGATAAAATACCATGCTCACATCCCTCTCAGGTTTCGCTTCTTTCCTCACATTTATCACGGCCAAAGTGGCTGGGTCTGAGCCTTTTTTGTAACTTTATCTGTACAATAAGACAACTATTGCTACTCATGGTTGGATAATTACTTCTCAATCTTCAACTAAAGCTTAGATTCAGAATGCTCTCAGCACGAACTCTGTCTCCAAAGTGAATGCAGCTACGCTTTTAATACAAAATCCTTACTTCTGAAAATAAGTGAATATTTGAGGGCAATTATTATGAATTAAACTGAATTAAAAATTGATCCTTCAACAACTTTAAACAACATCTGTTTAGGGAGGGATTTGTTGGTGATGTATTTAATTTCCCTTGAAATTAAACTTCACCGAAATCTTATGCATATAAACTGTGTTAGAACATTTTTTTAAATGGCCGTTCTTTCTTTAGTACTGAAGGTTTCTTCTTTAAGGGCTAGAAAATAATATATTACCACAAAGAATAGAAATCTATATTAGAAACTGTCTTTTGTGTATCAATCTCCTTTGTTATAGATATCTCCTATGTTACATTTATCACCTCCCATTATTTTTTTTTTAAGTCAGCTCATCATTTGCCAGTAGCTGCATGGCCGTTATGATAATGGCTTGACAACATATATACACGTATATATAATGACTGTTTGCAAAAGAATTTTAAGATCAGTGAAAAGATGATTTTTGAGTACTGACAGGGACCTCAAGTCCAAAAAAAGAAACAACTGATGGACAGATAAATAGGTTTCTGTAAAATCACAAAAGTTATGATTATTCTGTTACTCACTGTTCAAAGGGGGGAAATGAAATTACCAGGCAGTAGGTTTTAAGCTAACAATAGAAAAGACTGTTTCTCATCAAATCTATTTAAATTCTGGAACTTCTTGACACAGCATGTTGTGAAAGGCAAAAGCATAAAGGAGTTGTTCAGACAAATTCATGTAAAACAGGAAAAGGTCTATCAAATATGATGGTCCAGCCTCCTGCTACAAAAATCCTCAACCAGGAGAAGTATTTCTCAGTAATTTCCTGCTACTTACCTGACTCCTCACTCATCCTCTACTTTGACAGTGCTTGAGTCACCGTAATACTTGTGATCTGACCCAGGATGGCACTTCATTTATTAATATTTGTGAGTGCAACATCAAGATAAATTAGCTGGTTTTCCATTAGAAACATATGAAGGCTGGATGTTTTGTAGAAGTCAAGGGCAGAGGACATTCCCGGCAGAAAAGGACCTGGGGGTGTTGGTGGACAGCCGGCTGAATATGAGCCAGCAGTGTGCCCAGGTGGCCAAGAAGGCCAACGGCATCCTGGTCTGTATCAGGAATAGTGTGGTAAGCAGGACTAGGGAAGTGATCATCCCCCTGTACTCGGCACTGGTGAGGCCCCACCTCAAGTACTGTGTTCAGTTTTGGGCCCCTCACTACAAGAAGGACATTGAGGTGTTGGAGCGTGTCCAGAGAAGGGCTACAAATCTGGTGAGGGGTCTGGAGGACAAGCCTTATGAGGACCCACCGAGGGAACTGGGGTTGTTTAGCCTGGAGAAGAGGAGGCTGAGGGGAGACCTTATCACCCTCTACAACCGCCTGAAAGCAGGTTGTAGAGAGGTGGGGGCTGCCCTTCTCTCCCTGGTGATAAGAGATAGGACAAGAGGAAATGGGTTCAAGTTATGTCAGGGGAGGTTTAGATTGGATATTAGGAAACGGTTTTTCACTGAAAGGGTTATTAGACATTGCAATAGGCTGCCCAGGGAGGTGGTGGATTCGCCATTCCTGGAGGTGTTTAAAAAAAGGGTAGATGTGGTACTTAGGGACATGGTCTAGAGGTGGTTTTGTCAGGGTAAGTTGATGGTTGGACTTAATGATCTTAAAGGTCCCCCCCAACCTTAGCAATTCTATGATGCTATGATTCTATGATTCTATGACATCAGAGAGACCTCAAACACATCACAGCTCAATAACATTTTGGGGTACTTACTGTTATTTAAATTGATTGTTTTCTTTTTAAAAAAAATCATCACTTGGGTTTAAGGTTGCCCCAATAATTTAGAATAAAGTAGATTTTGGAGACACTGTAACTTTCTCTGAATCAAGCATTATGACCATAAGCTATTCAGACTAAAGCGTAACCTCACGATTCAGTCCTGTTAGACAAGGGAAACTACACAAGACAGTAAAAAGAAAAACAAAGAAAAAAATCCAGCTGTGCTCACAGCATCAAATTGAAGGCTTGAAGAAAAAATTAATCCAAGACATATTTAAAAATCATTTGTGCTCTGACAACACAAGCTCCTGCTGCTTTCACCAGTGTGCCATTGCCCTCGTGTGATGGTACTACCAGGTATATAAACTCCAGCACTAATTTATTTGCATTAATTTAGAATGACTAAATCCTGGCAAAAAGGGTGGGTTTTTTTATTATATCTAAACTTGTTTGCAAGGCCCTGACACATAAACACAATCATTCAGTTCCCATTTTGTGTGGGGGTGTCAGGCAACTGAACGCAGATGGATTGTAAGCATCTAAAGCCATTTGTTTAGCAAACCAAATGTTTGCTTTATTATTTTCAAGTAATCAAAGAGCACCTGCTTTTTTCTTGTTCTAAGCTAGTCAGACAGAAACCAGTATCACAGCTATAACACTGTCATCTTGATATTTATAATCCAGGCTGGGTGGATGTTTATGCACAGCATTGCTGCTTTGGGCAGGGGAAGCAGATAATGAAGCAGGAATCTGAAAAGCAGTTTTATTTGAAGACAAGCAGTGTGCAGTCCTTCCCGGGACACCAGGTCGCACGTGTGCCGTGCACTTGCAGTCCTTTGACCAAATCTTCACAGCAGCATTCGCAAAGCCTGGGACAAATCTCACTAGGGCAGCTAAAGGACAAAAAAAAACCAGCCTAGAGCTACAGTATTGCTCCTTAGCAAGGACTTAAAAGAGTCATAGGCCCATTTTGCATGATTCACTGGGTACCTGATGAGTGAAAATTCAGGACCAGTTCATACGCCATTCAATTTGCCAAGTCACTCCTGTTATTTGTTATTCCAGCTGTACTGCTGGTCTCTCGAATGTTTGGGGTTTTTTTTCCAGCTTGAATAGATGGCTACACCATTTGCTAACCACCAGAATTGCAAAAAAAGAATACCAGATACCAATTCCAGTGATCATCACCATGTTTTTTTACCCCACCACCCGTTCAGACCAGCTAGGTGCCCACCATAGATAGCAGGAGTCTTGTCTTCAGTTTTGATGAGCCCTGGGATTTATGTTCTCGGAAAAACATAGCTAGTGAGTCAATGGGATCACAGGCTGGTATGGCTGAAGGTCTGTTATAATTTATGCCTAAAACCTGCTGTATTTGAAAAGTAGCTACTGACATAACTTGAGGATTTAGCATGCAGGTAAGCTTTACAAGCAGATTTAACCCCTGCAGTGAGAAATGTTAAATCTTCTGGAAGAAAATTATATCAAAAACTATGTAGCATCTAATAGGAAGAAACACAGAACTAACACGTAGACACCAAAATGCGAATTTCTCTGCCCTGACCCACCAGTGCAAGTAAGGATTATTAGGCAAGCCATACTGGGCAAATGTGCTATTAATTTAAAGTATAAGGTAACCCAAACAAAGGGTGTGCATTTTATCTTTGTCTACTTCCTACAATAATCTAGTGCTACCAAATACAGCTAGCTGCTAGATTTTGTCAGAGCGTAAATCGCTACTTTATGAGGGGACAGCATAAGATGCATGGATCTGTGGGGAACCATTTGCACCAGCGTACAACCCTGCGACTGATCCTGCCAAGTGGAAGCATGAGCTCTTTCTATGGGCATGAGTAATTGGATTAAAATTGCTGTGCTTAATTTTCCATAGAGTTAAGGACATGAACACATATTTTTAGAATCAGGGTCTCGGTGGTGAAGAGTGTGTTATGTTCTACACTGGAGGAATACATTAAACACTTGTTCTGTGTGACTCTTCAGTTATTACAAGAGATGCATGCAAAGGCAGAAAACAACAAAGAGGCAAAAACCACCAGCTTCACACCCAGATGAAAACTCCAAATTCTCTGCCTACCGGTGGGTTGTTATACTTACCAATATTGCAATACTTTCCTGCATAATTTCCTTTGCAATCACATACTATTTTCCCACTGAAGGTAACCATTTTACATTCTCCGCCATTCATGCAAGGGTCATGACCATGAACACAACCTACAATCAGAAACCAAAGATCAAACCAAACTATGCAAGAGAATCAGTCTATTTTAACTTTCTTTAGTACACCTTCTCCGTGCATATGCATTTTGGGAAAGTTTTTCCTTTTTTACTCATCTCACATCTACAGTTGATATAAATTGAAGAAAAGGAAACTGCTGGTTTTTGCCTACTGAGGTCTGTCTCATTGTTTTTACTTTTATTGGATAATGTCAGAAAAATATTACCAATGAACAATAGGTAAAATGGGGATGGTGATTATTATTACTAGTGGTGACGGTGGTGGCATTAGCATTTCCGCTTGTACAGAGGGTTCTACCATTTCCAAGTTTGCCACTGAGCTGCATTAAAATTTGTGATAGCAGGGAGCTCAGTTAAATATTTAGGATCTGTCACTGGGAAGTATTAAGTCCTATCAAATTTCCCAACTCTCCCATGGACTCTCAACATCCTAGAAAGCCACCGACACTCTCCATGCTTTATCTTCCAGTTCTGTAAGGTGGGAGTAAAAACACCTACCTATTTCAGAGGGCTCTTTTACTCAGTACTGGCAGGGTGAAAGTCAGCCAGACTGAATAACAGAACAGTCATACCAGAACACATATATAAGTGAGGCTTATGTTTTGCTTCCCACCACTTCTCCTTCCAAAAGGGAGGTGCTGTGATGGCTTCACCAGATCAGTGACAACCTGAAGTGCGTGCCCTGCAGCAAGCTGGGAAGCTGTGTTGGGCACCTGGGAGCCCCAAAACAAGGAGGAGGCTTCAAAACATAAGCATCACCCTGGCCAGGAATGGCTATGTTGGGCCAAAAATCATGGGGACTCTGGGGTTGACACAGGGCAAATGGGATTCTGGAGGCGGGTGGAATTTACACGCTGGCAGCTCAAGAGGGAGACAGGCTTGGGAAGAAATGCCAGATGTGAAACAGCAATATGGTGTGATTGCAGGTGTGCAGGGGAAGAGTAGAGGAGGGTGTGCCTCTCAGGCATGTTACAGTTTTGGAAGAGAGCTCATAAGGTCAAAATTTTACCACTTCTACTATACAGTCTGTTGCATATTCTTACATGATGCAGTTCAGGATTGCATGCCTGGTGAAGAAAGCATTGAGCTGTGTCCCTAAAATTCAGCTTAATGCATATAATTGCTTCCACAAATAAGGATGGACATGTTGAAGTGATTTCCTGGGGGTCAGCATTACTGCTTAGAGATGGAAAGGGAAGGGGAGGGTACATGAGCTGCGAGAGCAGCATTACTGCGTGTAACACCACTCAGGTTTTGACATCCTTATTGTCCTTTATCCCCACTCCATGCAGGCCAATGTCTGCAATGCAAAATAGTGCCTTACTTCTGTGTTCAACACTCTCGCACTCGATCTGGCCGTTCTCACACACGCACTGCTCCACAGCTCCTTGTTCGACTCTTGACCAGCTCATGCCCACATCAAAGAACTCGTAGAGACTGTTGTCAAAACATTTCTCTGAAAGACAGTTTAAAAATCAACACAAGCTTTCTGAGGTTATTTCTTGTGAGGAATGGGACCACAGTCTCCATCATTCCCTGCTCATCTCTTTTTTTCCTGTTGAGCACACATGTTTGTTGACAGTTGGTGCTTCTCAAGCAAGCCAGCCTCCGCAGTGTGGAGCCACTGAGCCACTATAGCAGCAGCTCCGAGGACCTCGAGGCAGAGGTGGCTTTCTCCTAAAGCCCTGTGAGCATGACAGCATCACCATTACTTAAGCCCTTCCAAAAGTCCATTCAGCAAACATAAAAAATAAAATCAGTGGTATATACTTGTGTCTGTCCCACTTTACTGCATCATCCATGGATGATGGGCTGCGCTAGAGACAGTGGAGCACCAGGGCTGAAAAAGACTTCTTTGCTTATGTTGAGAGAGAAACCTAGAGCTGCGGGGAAAAGCAAGCACAACTGAAAACCCTCTGTGTAAAAGCCTAATTCCTCGCTTGACATGCAGCAAATTGGGAGTGACACCACCATAAAAATGGAAAAATAAACCAAGCAAAGCCTTTTGGCCTGACTGTCTTCCTTTGAGAATGACTTCCCCGAAGGTGGAGTAGTGCCCGGGTGTAAAGCTGACATCACACGAAAAGCTGTACTAGACCCATGTGTGCATATACATAAGGGATAAGGCGTCACCTGAAATTTTGGGTTTTTTTCATGTCTCCCTGCCCTACCTCCTGGATTATATTATTAGTCATTTCCAACCATATAAGTGATATTTAAATCTTAAAAACAGCAAAGGGGGAGGAAGAAGCTCTTTGTGTTTCCCAAAGCTTAATACCTCACTGGCTCAGAGCATGCTTGGATTTATAACTGCATAATCAAGCTATTTTCAGCTGTCCTGTTGGTAATGGATTGTCTGTCATAACCATTTGGAAATCTGCCTACACAAACATTCATGCTGCAGTGGTCCCTCCCATCACAACAGCGCTACCTTTTCATTAAGCAAACACTAATGAACTCCACTTACTGCTCGTATTTCATGATGTAACACTCATGGAAGAAGATACTTACTCATCTGACAGTCCTCGCCCGTGAATTCCTCGGGACAGGTACAGTGGTACGTCCTATAGCCATGAGCAAGAGAACAGGTCCCTCCGTTTTGGCAAGGGTTGTTTGCGCAGTGATCTAGACAGCCCACATAAGAAGTTGTTGTTAGTAGGTGCCAGATAAGCTGCGCTTTGTTGTGTTATGCATCAGCTTGGTTACATGAACCACTTAGATTCAATGCACAGTGGTTTCAATAACACCTATTAATCTAAAACAATGTTTATCCAACCAATTTACATTGGGTTTTTTTTCCAGCTGTATAGCACCTACATTTATCCAGCTTTTAAAAACTGTATAGTAAATCACTGAGCTGAACCTTCTTCACCAGAATAACTTGTCTGAAGGTGGTATATCCAGTCATGCATGAAGTTGCCAGAGCTGCCACTGTGGTGAGGAAGAAGATGGGACAAATGCCCACAAGATGGAGCTGTGCCTTTACACTGGGGACGGAAGGCTGCAGCTCTGCCTCTGCCCGGATTACTGCCCCTCATGCTTCGCATTTCAACATCAATGACCGGGATTATGCATCTCTCTTTCAAATTACACAAAGGACAACCCTTGACAGCAGAATTTGCTATGGATTTTTGGATTTTTAATGAAACGAATGGACAGCTGGAAGAAAGGGGGAAAAATTGAAGCAAAACAAGGGCACAACCAAGTAAATCGGGTCAAGCAAGAACAAACTGAACCAGTCTAATGTAACTCTGCTTTTTAAGGAATTTTCTAAATCATGGGAAAACAGGGTGGGAGAGGAGGACATGTGTCAGGATAACTTTCTCATCCCTGCGATGGAAGCTTTACTTGGCAATGTGCAATGCAAAAGGTGTGAGAGTCTTGCTGGCCAACCGTTGTTGCTGATTTTGCGCAGTGTCGAGGGGTATGTCTCCCCTGAAGTCAACTAACATCATGTCTTACACCCGCTGCAGAGCTGGCCCTGCAGCTTGTCTGCATTCAAATCCTCTTTTTTTTAAGGCTAGTCAAACTCCATGAGGGCAACGGAAGAGTTACTCAACTCAGGTGTTACTTTAGCTAGTGTGTGGTCCTAAGCGTGGGATGCAACGTATAGAAACAGAGGCACACACATACAGGGTTGAGGTGAAGCACAAAAAGCACATCCTGAGCTTTGCTACAGCACTGTAGATGCGAAGGTTCCCCTACACAGTCCAAAATGTTTACTTCAGAGTAGAGTGGTGTAATTGATATCAGATAGCAGGCCTGGGTGTATTCGCTGGTAGTTTCACTCCAGGATAACATCAAGGGAAAGCAAGCAAAGGCAGTGACGTTCCTACTGTTCCTGCCATTTCATAGTTATGAAACTTTTAATGGTGTCATGTTTCCTCAAAGGAAAATTCTGTATTTCCTACTCCCATCACATCCAACCCATGACTTGATCTCCAGGCCATATTCTGGTACAGTGGCCCTCTAGATATTTTTTGATCCCTTGTTAAATCTGCAAAGAGCACTTCCAGTCCTCCATTTCTTTCCAAGTCATAGTTCCTCACTTCATCCCACCCACCATTCCAGCCTGACTTCCCCAGGGTATTCTGTATCCCTCCCCACCTTCCATGGAGTCCAAGAACAATTTCTACTCATAAGCATGTGGACACATCACAGTTCCCTGCCAGGAATCCCGCCCCCCATTAACTAGGGAGTGCCAAGTCCCTGAAAGTTCGTCCAATGTCTAAAGCCACCCAGTAGTATCTCCCTGCCCTCACAGGAAAAACACTTCATGCTTGCTAGCAATCAGCTTGACTTCAGCTTCACCTCACTGAGGCTCTGCTGAATGAGCGGTAGCATTGTCTCACCTTTTTAACCATATTTTCCCACAAAAACTTTCTGTTTCTGCCACCCACCTTTCCCAGAACTGGGACTGCTCTTCCCCAGAGCCCCTCCTGGGATGATGCCTCTTCCTCTTGCTTGCACAGCCCACACTGCTCTACTTCCTCTTTCCATATTAGTCCAAACATCTCTTAAAAAAACTCACTGTCTGGCACTTTTCCCCCAAGTCTGGGCCTCCCTGGGGTTTTGGCCATTTGTCCAAGGTTTCCAGACACTCAGAGCAGTAGTCCCAACAGACTGCCCAAGGTCTGGAAGTCCCACACATTGCACTTTTATGCATGTATATGTACACGCATACATACACAAGAACTACACATTCACCATTCGGTTGGCCCGTGTGTATGAAGGGGTCACATCAGGCAGATACTACACATGGTCACCACAGAGATCTCCTGGGCACGAGTGGAGGATCCTCTAGAAACCTGAAGGCAGCAATAAAGCTCCCACTGGTTTCAGGAGGGGTTTGAATGAGCACCTTGGGTGTTGTTATGGCGAGCTCTGGCTCTGTACAACACAGTACTAACATCTCCCTCCAGCAGAGCCTTTATATACCTGAGCTTCACTTCATCCCGAAGCTAAACACTTTTTGGTTAAGCTTTCTCTTAAAGTTGGCAGATGTGTTTTTCAGGATCAATGCCTCCAACAATTGCTTAACAATAATTTGTAAGCAGCTCCAACGGTCTCAAGTCAACTCCCTGTGTACACATGGTATTCTTGGCCTGGAGAGAGTTCGTGCTTCAGCCTTTGCTTTCAAGCAGCTCCTTCCCCATCCCAGTTCACACAATCCTCACCAATCTCTCATGGCCAAAGGGTACTTTCTTTCCACAAAATTTAATTTTTTCTGTTTTTTCAAGTGTCTATGAAGTCTCTACATTTCCCCAAAGATTTAATATTTCAGTGGATTTTTTTCACAACAAAATCATATGTTTTCCAAATTTTAAAGATCAGCATTATTCAGTTTGTCTGCTTCTTTCTTCCTAGCTATCTTCCCCAGCAGGTGAATTTTCCACCCGTCTGCTTGAAATTCCCTTCAGCCATTATGCCGCTCCTTCCTTTCAACCTCACTTTAAGCCTTTTCTCTTTAAGCTATGCCTGGTGACCTGTTAAACCTTTTCCAAGTCCAAACACAGTGCTTGCTGCTTAAAAATATAAGTGGACTTATGTTTATAGACAAATGAACAGCAAAAGACATTTTAATTTAATTTTACAAAGTTCTTAATGCTTTCAGAAATAAAGTCTTTTCATTGCAATAGCCAGCAGTGACCTCTTCCAGCTACCCCATCCTGTTTTCTTTTCCTTTTTTCCTTTCCTCTCTCACACATTTAATTCTTTTTTCCTGGAGAAAAAAAAAAAAAAAAAAAAAAAAAAAGCCCCACCGCGCGGGCAATCTCCCCCTGTCT